TTTCAGCGCCGACTTGTTGTGGTGACGAGACTTTTCAATCTTGATCACGCAGTCAGTATTGAAGCCCGTTCTGGGGTCCTTGTGTACGATGTGAGCTGCGAATCCGTAGCCCCCTGCTCCCAAAATACGTTTTAGACGGATATTGTAACCCTTGGGATGCTTTTGACCCCCGTACTTGGCTTGGGCCTCATCTAGATGGGTCGAGTCGAAGTAACGGGAAGCGTACCTCACACTGGGTCCATGGATCCTTGGGTCGGAAGGGGGTGGGGTCGGGAAACCGTAACGATAAGGACGGACGTTGCCGTTCATGTCGTACTGCAGATATTGCTCACCCCTCTCGGCACCCATTCTCGCTGTGATCCTGTTCACCAACTTTATTCTCCTTTGCTTCTCTACCCACGCTTGATTCAGAGCCTGCTGCGCGGCCAGGTCAGGGCCGTTATTGTTCATGGCTACCTGGACCTGATGAGTAGGATTCTGTGACATGCTGATGATACTTGATTGGATATAGTTGCGCGATGGTACCTGCCCGCTTGCTTCGATGTTGTGAAATTGGAAGTGTGAGTGATGATGCTGATGTGTTTGATGAGTATGTCTCTGTTTTTTTTCTAATTCAAATGCCAGTGACAGTCAATTATATTATATGTATGTGTTTTCCTTCGAATGTTTCTTCATCATTCGTTCAATAGAGGACTGGTATGCAAGCAAGAAACAAAGTAATCCAGTGGTTGTCTTCGAGAACAATTGGTACCGCATACTTGCGATGGCTTTGAGAGTGCGCCATTCTTTGTAGCAGTCAATGCCTTTACATGCCCTGCCACTTGAATGAAAGTATTTGAAAGCTCTGAGTTAATTGTGTCTTCGCTGGCGTAAAAGCGTTTCATTAGCAGAATGAACAATACCGCTTTGTCAGTCTTCTCAAGTCAGCGAACAATTTCAACGCAGGCACTCGATCGAGGCCACGAGACAAAGGCCACTATAAAGGTCCTGGTTTATTCTCGTCATAATATCAACAAGTTTTCAGGAGAAACACAGTTGAAGCCGAGGGCAAGTAATTGTGAGGCTTTCAGTCCGGTCACTTCGGGTGCAAATGCAGTTTTGTCAATAAGAAAGCAGCGGGATGAGGCTCAGATTCATCTCATGGTGGGATCCACCCGGATGAAGTGAGGTGCAGAGAGGGTCTCAGGTCCGGAATGACCCCACGCGCCCACCCACGTGGATACGAGGCGCTCCGGCAAATGGGCCGAGGATGCACTGAATGAGGTGACGGGATGTGCGACATTCCGCGTGAAGATTCGGATCGATGCTGGTGTGAAGTAGGTAGGTAGTAAAGTACCTAGTGTTATCGGACTCCAGCCACCGTGCAACCCAGAGATCTGGCATCTGAGTGGCGTCCAAGAAGATGTGTAATTGGTGTGGTTAGCAATTGAGGAAACGACGGCTTGTACAAGGCGCTGTGTAGTATTCAGTAGCGTTGATCAATCGGAACTCGGGAGCACAGAGACGTTTTCTCTGCCGGGCTCAGCGGGTGAAGGTCTGCTGGTGAAGTTCTGCGGATAGAAGTCCAGCAAGCTGTTGACGATGGAAGAAGAGAAACCAATTAGCCGCGCCGAACAGCATTCAGGCTAAATGCAAAATAAAACGGGTCTCGGCGAAATCGATTCTCCACAATAGCACCTCGTGCGGGCCCTTGAGGTAGGTAAAGAGCGATGCTCGTTGAGAAGGTCCAGGCCAGGAACAGGCGGATACTTACGCTTGCGATGGAAAGAGAAAACGGTAACCGAGGAGAAGAATAAGCAACTCCTTTCGTTCAGAGTACAGGCACACCTGAGGGGGCAGTGACACTTGCGGGAAATCTGTCACAATACGGCATTCCTGTACCAACATGAGTGACAGGGAGGCACAGCGTCAGCTGGCCGCGGTTTCTTAGTAGGTAGAGTCAAAGGGAACCAGTGGCAGGGCAGGAAAGCCGCCCTGGGACCAACCAACCCAAAGGAAGGGCTGCCAAAATCACAATTCCCATGCATATTGGCTTCCATCCCGCGAAACTTTGCAAACTGGGACCCTGACCTTGACAGCCAGCAGCGGGAAGCTTGAACTCCAATTTACCCCAATGGAAGTCTCCTGGGTCGACCGTAGCTCAAGTCCTCACAGGCTGATTTAAACGCACAAATGGGCGCGTGTCATTCTGTAGCAGTGAGCCAGCAACCACCCACCCCCCATCTCCACATGAAGCCCGGCCGGCTTATCCACGCGCGCCTCTCCGTCTGAGGTGCCTCTTCCTGCCCGTAACATTACCCGGCCACTACACTTATGGATATTTCACATCGTCCAATGTCGACGTGTCACGGGCTCGGAACGACCAGCTAGCTTTCTATCCTCCGGCGGGGACCCCCTGGCTGGTTTGGTTGGTTTTGGGGAAGGCGATCTGTGTGTCACTTTTTATCCTATCGGTCCCTTTTCACCCCGCCAGCCTCTTGAGCCCTAGATATCGCCGCAAATATGTATGGTGACGGCACCATGGGGTGTCTGGAAGCATGCAGCCGGCCGGGGACAGGTGGAGGTTATCGACGCGGGCAATGGGAAAGCCAGGAAGTTGCAATTGGTCTACTTGCCCTAGGACTCAGCAAGCTTGCCTTCCGGGCCAGACGAATACTCTACATTGCCTGGCAACCGCGTACCAGAACACCTGACGTTGGTGCCATGGTTATAAATACGTACATCGTCCCTCTTCCCGACCCTGAGTGCTGTCTGTGTTTTCCTTCTCTCCCTCTCCTCTTCTCTCTCTCAAGTTCTGCCACGCTTCGTTGATCTTATACTCTCAAACCTACTTCCCAGAACAACGACAGCTACCATTCATCATGGCCGTCCCCAACATCAAGCTGAACAGCGGCTTTGACATGCCCCAAGTGGGCTTCGGTCTGTGGAAGGTTGACAACGACATTGCCGCCGACACCGTCTACGAGGCCATCAAGGCCGGATACCGTCTGTTTGACGGCGCCTGCGGTAAGTGAACAGCCCACAAGCACGAGCATACACTGTCAATGGTGTGGTGAGAGCGAGAGCAAGAGGAAGCATTCTGCGGCGCAATGAACCCAGCTTCAGTGACAGGCGGCAACTGCGTGGCAACCAGGAAGCAATTGGACAGGTTTCTCTTGCAGAAAAACGCGTTGCGCGCTGCCATTGATGCTGGTGTTGGTGGTCTGCTGCGTTTCTCCCCCCTCCATAATTTCTTCCTGAGAAGCCAACTATTACCCCTCCTAAACCCCACCATGGATCATCGGTGCGAATTTCTGCAGAGCACCGATGGGGATTTTCCCCATGCGCTACAACTTCACCCGGAAAGCTCTCCGCAGCCACCCCTGCACTTCACCCAGGATTCGCACCCCTCCCCCCGACCTGCCCTGTCACTTGTCACTCCCCCCTCACTACCCTCACCAATGCCATCCACTTACACTCGGGGCTACGCTCCCGCATTCCCCGAATCCATCACACATGGACAACTCAAATCATACACACTTTGATTCGCCATGACGTTCAACTGTGCTATGGGGATAACACGTAACTAACGTTGTCAATTGTCCAGATTACGGCAATGAAGTTGAGTGTGGCCAGGGTGTTGCCCGCGCCATCAAGGAGGGTCTCGTCAAGCGTGAGGAGCTCTTCATCGTCTCCAAGCTCTGGAACACCTTCCACGATGGCGAGCGCGTAGAGCCCATCGTCAAGAAGCAGCTCGCCGACTGGGGCGTCGACTACTTCGACCTCTACCTCATCCACTTCCCCGTCGCCCTCGAGTACGTCGACCCCTCCGTCAGATACCCTCCCGGCTGGCACTACGATGGCAAGTCCGAGATCCGCCCCTCCAAGGCCTCCATCCAGGAGACCTGGACTGCCATGGAGAGTCTCGTTGAGAACAAGCTCTCCAAGAGCATCGGTGTCTCCAACTTCCAGGGCCAGCTCCTCTACGACCTCCTCCGCTACGCCAAGATCCCTCCTGCGACCCTGCAGATCGAGCACCACCCCTACCTGGTCCAGCCTGACCTGATCAAGCTGGCTGCCAACGAGGGCATCGCCGTCACTGCCTACTCTTCCTTCGGCCCTGCTTCCTTCAAGGAGTTCAACATGGAGCACGCTACCGACTTTGTCCCTCTCTTTGAGGAGCCAACCGTCACAGCCATTGCCAAGAAGCACAACAAGGAGCCTTCCCAGGTCCTTCTCCGCTGGGCTACCCAGCGTGGTCTTGCTGTCATCCCCAAGACCAGCCGCAAGCACGTCCTTGCCCAGAACCTGTCTGTCACCGATTTCGACCTCGAGCAGTCTGAGATCGACAAGATCAGCTCCCTTGACAGGAAGACTCGCTTCAACCAGCCCGCAAACGTGAGTTTACCCTCATCTGTTGACCCTCTCATTATGATTGTCAGCTAACAAGACATGATAGTACTTCCCCACTGAGAAGCTTTGGATCTTTGGTTAAGTGGATTGAATTTTACATCCCATCCATTTTGCCTGATTTATCGCACTTCATAACTACCCATACCACTCCTCAGAGAGCGGCCTTTTGGTAGCCTGCAACTGGCAGTGTGCGTGGGAAATCTGTCCGACATGTGTCAAACCACGTACGACGTACGTCGATTGTATCTAGATACCCTCTCCCCCGGCGAGACTATGATCTGCCGCTAAAATACAACGAAAGCCATGACCAAGCCTGGTTGGAAATCCCGCTCACCCGTGACATGCAGCGTTTACACGCCCAAAGTCAGAAAAAGCCGCCCGCCCATTGAAGAATGCATCATACCTGTCAACATGTACTCATGCTTGCCAAACAGCGTGGCTGAGTATGTGTGACCGTGCATGTGTGTGCCGAGAAATACCTCGTGTGGTGAAGAAAGGCCCTTATATGTCCATTGATGTCTGCCCTCGCACCCAGATCTTCTAATCAAACGCCTTGGTAACGCCACGCCAGCCTCGTAAGTCTCATGCTAGAACACTGTGCCTGAAAATCATGATGTTTTGACAAAGGCTGGAGCGATTTGTCAGCAAGTAGTTTTTCACAGTAATGGGGTTTTTCTTCTGATGTACTCACTTGCGTCGATCTGGGATAGTTGGGGCAACGCCAGACGGACTTTGTTGCGATACACCGCGGGTCCTCTAAGCTGTAGCGGGTTGCCCTCAAAGTAGACCGTCGTGAGGTGTTCCTTGTCCTTGAGCTCCTTCTCGACCTCGTTGAAGTCGCCAATCTGATTATAGCTGGCCCAGAGCTCCTCGAGGTTCTTGAGTGGTGCGAGGCCCTTAATGCTCGCAACGGCGTTGTTGGAGATGTCGAGTACGCGCAGCTTCTCGCTCTTTTCGATACCGGCGAGGGATGTGAGGGCGTTGTGAGAGATGTAGAGTTCCTCAAGGCCGGGCACCTCAGCCAAGGGCGCCAGGTCGCGAATGCGGTTGGATTGGATGCTGAGGAGGCGCAGGTTAGAGAGTCCGCCTAGCCCCGTGAGCTCGGTGATTTTGTTCTTGGCGACCCAGAGCTCCTCGAGTTTCTTCAGGGAGTCGAGGTTCTGAAGGACGCGGATGCGGTTAGAGCCGAGCTCGAGCGAGGTGAGGTCATCGAGCCCTTCGAGGTTTTCGATTGTGGAGATCTTGTTGGCGACGAGGAATAGCTCCTTGAGCTTGGTCAGGTGGTTGACGCGCTTGATGTGCTTGATCTTGTTGAAGCTCAGGTCGAGGGAGGTGAGGTTGACGAGGTCGTCGAGGCCGCGGATGTGGGAGATGAGGTTGTCGTAAAAGTCGAGGTCCTCGAGGGTGGGCGCGAGGGCGGCGAGGCCGTCGATGGACTGGATCGAGTTCTGGCGGAGGCAGAGGCGGACCACCTTTTGGAAGCGTTCGAGGCGGAGGGCGGGTATGGAGGAGACGCGGGCGTGAGAGACGATGAGTTCGTCTGTTTCTGGGTCTTCGCCGTCGAGTAGATCTGTGGGATGGGGTTGGGCGTGTTAGTTTTCCATGCAACACGCCTCGCCTCGCCTCGCGCTTGTAGCCCAGCGCAGGAAGAGCGCGCCAGGTAAGGAAGACTTGCCTTCGTCAGCGGGTAGTTCTTCGCCCGGAAGGACGTTCTCGTCATCGGATTCCGGATCGGAGAGGACCTCTGGGTTGGCGAGGACGGCGGTACGCTGAACCCTGAGCTTGCCGTCCCATCCTTTGCTGTTCCTGAGGCCTGGGCTGGTCTGACCGTCTGTCCGCGGGGAGGCGCTGGCGTCTTCTTCTGGGAGCTCGATGCGCGGGGAGTGCCTCGGCGACGAGGGTTCTGTCGGGGTGGTGGGATCTACAGAGCCGGGCATGGTGGGCGGGATTCGATATGGGTTCGGGGCTGTCGCGGTGGTTGCTGTAACAATATAAGGTTTCTTGGCTCGGTCGTGGCTCCGTCCAAGTGATGTTGGAGATTTCAAGAGTGGCGGGGTGGGAATGAGCAAACGAGGAAAAAAAGGCGGTTGTTGAAGTCGGCGGTGAATTCTCGGCGGGGCGGGGTGGGAAGATCTGATCAAGAAAGTGGGATGGTTTGGAGGGACCTGGAGGGAGGAAATGGGCACCAGGACAGAAATAGAGGGGTTGTTCACTGATGGACCGATAGGTAATCAAGATCCAGTGTTGCACATGCCAAGGTATAAGGTAATATGGTATGGGGAGGAAGGGATGTGCGATTTTGCGGCGTAAATCAAGGCAACGTCCAATTTCGAGGGCGGCTGATTCTTTATTTATTAGTTACGCCCGCTTGCTCTCACACTCACACTCACACACACACACACACCGCACATGTGGATAAGGTGCCTTCCCCGACCGCCTGGTGCCCGTATTGGTGCCGGTTCTGGGCGGGGGAGGGGAACAGCACAGCACATGCCCTGCCTCTAGGGGTTTGGGAACACCTGCCATGAGGTAAGCTCTCTGAAGTTGAGAAGTGACGAGATGGCTGGGCCTCTACGTAAGGTACCTCACGGTTCATCCCCTCTCCTGCCTTTCCCATTCGTCCCGCTGCTGGATACCTGACCTTATTCACGAGTGCAGGATTGGCAGGCTGGTTCCAGCAATCCATCGAGGGCCGTTTGGCTCTAGAGTACCTTATGACGTCTCAATGTTGCTAGAAAGTACCTACCTTACCCGAGTAGCAGTGGAGGCGGGGGCACTGGGTCTGTCACTGTAGGCAATGTACTCCGTACCAAGCTAAATGGACCGAGAGGGCGAGAATCATGCCGTGGAATGAGATGATGATGATGCTCTTGAAGCGAACGGATAGTGAAGCAGCAGATAGAGCAGCTTGATGACTACCTTACCACATGGGTCGACACTCGCCTCTAGAAAGCCATTGTTGCAGGCTGTTTGGCTGTCAAGCTGAGATTTGTCTGGCCTGCCCGTGTCACAGAGCGGCCTTGTCTCAGACACAGCAATGTCTCTACCACATCTTCCATTTCCATCTACACACCAGATTGTGTCAATGGCGGAACCTTGCCCATGGTCCATTCCTCTTCGAGTGCCTAGGTATACCTAGTATGGTACGAGACCCAAAGAGCCCTCGAGACGGATAAGAATCACCGTTGCAATTGATGGACGAATGCAGATCGTCGACCATTGGGCTGGAATCCTTGGACCCCGACCTGCAATCGTGGTGCTTATTTAACAAGTCCGTCTTCGTTTGCCGCCAACGCCGAATTCGAACGTTGCCTCCGAAGCTTTCTGAACGGAATAGGACCGCCTGCATGCCGGCCATATTGAACCCAGTCGCGTTCGAACACGACCACATGCGCACCATGTCATGGCCCGTCACTCTATACAGTAGTCCGCGATACCTACTCCCAACCAACGTTCTCCATCATTGATTTTTGCGCAAGCAGCAGCAGCAGCCGCCGCCGCCAGGAACCGCCCCTCTTTTCAGGGTACGCAACGCTTCTGTTCGAGGTAATCCGCATCTCAGGGTCTAGTTCCGTAACCTTCAACCCAATACCACATCATCCACCCGCGCCTGATACGCGCCTCCATGTCTCGCGAGCAACCGTGATGCATGCTATCCGCGCATCCTCCATTGGGCAGCTTCTACATGGTCCTCGCCGTCTGCAAGCACTTCCCGTCACGTCACCATGGCGAGCCACGTCTCAGCGGCAGTCGATGCCGAAGCTGCTTGTGACGCCGCACATTGGCCTGACTCACAAGCGGCACTTCAGAGCTGAGGCGCTCTATCTACCACCGCTCGTCTTCACCGGCCTTCTGCTCACTCTGTGGACGCAAAAGTGTCTCGCAATGATCATCTTCCAGAACAAGATCATTTACATGCCAGGCCTGCCACCCAATGCACGCAGGGAGCGCATCCAAGACTACGCGAAGCAGTGCTGGGGCGTACAGTGGGAGGAGAAGAGGATCCGCGCCGCCGATGGGACGGATCTAGCCCTCTGCGTGGCCTCGGCGACATCGACTGGTGGGAGGAAGACCACGTCGCTCGACGATACTCTATCGGTGCCGTCCATCTACATCCTCTACTTTCAGGGTCCGCCTCGTCCCCGTTCCAATACCCTGGCTGGCGCATAGCTTTTCCCCTTTTACCTCTCCAAACGATCAAAGGCTCATGCATTGGGGAAAAATAGGAAACGCCTCGTCCATTCCCCCACGGTTGCCCGACCTATCGTGGGTCCTACAGTCGCTGCAGCAGAGCAAACGGCCCGCGCGATACACATTTGTGTGTTTAAGCTACCGCGGGTACTGGACGTCGAGGGGTCGTCCCTCCGAGAAGGGCATCAACCTGGATGCGCGGGCGGCTCTGCACTGGATTGGGCGGGTGCACAGCGAGCACGACGTCCACGGGCACCAGCCCACGCCGGAGGTGATACTCTGGGGTCAGAGCATCGGCGCTGGGGTCGCCACGAACCTCGCCGCGTGGGAGGCGTTCCCGCCCACGTTGCGGCTACGGTCGCTCATCCTCGAGACACCTTTCACGTCCGTCAAGGACATGCTAGCGATACTGTATCCCCAGAAATGGGTGCCGTACCGTCATCTCTGGCCGTTTCTCCGGAATCACCTGGACAGCTGGACGAACCTAGCCACGATCGCCGGGAACTGGTCCGGGTCGAGGATCTATGAGAGGCCTCGCATTACGATCGTGGAAGCTGGCAGAGACGAGCTAGTGCCGGCCGAGCTTGGCGCGAAGCTGGTCCGGCGCTGCGAGGAGGTCGGGCTCGAGGTAGAGAAGAAGACGGTGCAGGGCGCCTTCCACAACGATGCCGTCATCAGGCTAGAGGGACGCAGAGCCGTCGTCGACTGCATTGAGCAGGTTGTTGCTAAAATCTGATGGACCCTAATAATGGCATCAAGTGAGGTCTGTCTACGGATAGCTAAGCAGTGAGTTCGCACGAAGCTGCCACGGTGACACTTCAGAGCTGTAAACGTTGGTCATCCTGAAGTGGGCAAACCTGATTGGCGAATTGAATGAGTACATGGCACTGCCGAGGGAACCCTCGGCGTTCGAGTTCGGTTTGGATTTCGGACTGGGAAGCTAGGAACCGCTCCCCGGGCCCCGGCAAACCGGTGCAAGGTTTATAGAGGCGATTGATGTTCAGGGGTTGAATTGCCTTGCCTCTCTTTGCAGGAAACCGAGCCTGGTTCATGGTACCATCCCTTACGGTCCAACATCATTTACGCCATCCCGAAAGCCTCTCTCTGAGCATCGGGCTTTCGAGATAGAACAGAACAATACGTTGGACCCCTGTGAGCTCAAATCGTCTCCAAATTGATACTTCGTATCATCAGAGAATTCCTTTGGCCCCTCAACTATTCCTAGAACTTGACTGAGAGTATTCGCCCCCTGTGCGACGGCAATGAATCCAGATGAATTGTCTGCCCCTAACATTTCTTATTCTGGCCAAGTGATGGGTACAGAAGCTTGGACGCGGCCACGCCGTCTCAACGTGGATCATTTCAGGCTGTTTCCCGCTGTTCCAGGCACCTAGGCAGCTTTCGTGTGAAGTGTGAATCGTCGGCGCACCACAGATGTGTGCTCGGCAGCCCGCAAACTCCCGGACAGAGGTACTCTTTGGGCCATTGAGTCACCGCGGAGTGACCTGTCGACAAGAGCGAGGGAATCATCCAGCCCCCTTGACTTGAGCACAGTGGCACCGAACCAAATGCACCAAAGCCAACGCAAGCTTGCACACACTCTCTCCTTTTTTTTTTGGCACTGGCTGCTTAAGTTGTTCCCCCTGCGGATGGCTTGGACATGGCGCGGTTTTAGAACCGGGTTCGGCCTGGTATCCAGTGCCTGCCAGTGTCCGCCAGCTTTCCCAACAGTGCCACCACAGAGGCAGCCAAGCAAAACCCCGGCGCACCACCCACTTTCCCATCAGCGAAGTCCCCTGCTGGCGTGCACGTGACATCGCATCTGAGGCGTGTGTCCCTCAGACCCACCGACGCGTTCCCCTTGATCCCCCTGACGCGTCCAATGAGGACGTTCTCACCACTTTTTTTTTTATCAGTCCGCCCCCCTCTCCCCCAGGCACAGAGTCTCGGTGCCATCCTGTTCAAAAGCAGCCGGTGCAAGGCAATCACTGCAACGTACTTCAAGTAGGGGAGGGATCTTGGGGGACCGTGCCAGGAAATCAGGCTGTATATATTAGAATCCCATCGCCCATCCACCATGAGTTTCTCTCGAGTTCGCTCTCTCTTCTGTATTCACGCATCTCGGAAACGGCGCCTTAGGTAGGTCAAACACATTTTTCCATGAGAATCAATCTTTCGGTCCATCCCATAGTCATCGATAATCAATTATTCCATCCATCACCTACTCTTTCCATCACTTGAAATTTTCTCTCCGACGACGTTCCTTAGGCATCCGAGCTGTGATATCTTCGGTTCGAATTCCGTTTCTTTTAATCGGTAAACACCATCCCAGCCATTCCGGAAACCATCAGCCAAAATGTTCAGCAGACGCTACGAACCATCACAGACTGTGAACAAGAGCTTCTCAAAGAGCCACAAGGCATCTAAATCCAGCTCATCATTCAGCAAATCCAGCGGCGTTTCGAAACATCGCCATGAATCCCGCCACAGCCGAAGGCCATTAACTGCCACTACGACCACGAGTACTGCTACCGAGGATACTTCCATGAGCAAGTGAGTCTTCAACACATTCATTTACTCTGCATTCTCCATCGAAACCCATGCATGTCGCTTGAGAGAAACGTGAACCAGACACTAACAGAACCCTCCCTAAAACCAGCAACCTCACCTCCGCAATCGTAACCCTCGTCGTCGGCACAGAACAGCGCCTCTTCGCCGCCCACGAAGATGTCCTCTGCGCATCGCC